CTGGCTCCAAGTTCAGCTGCTCCTTGCTGTCTGACCTAAGTCCTATGGTCTGTAGCAGAAGCAGCCTGCTCTCCTGGAGATCTGTGACCATTGGCCTTGAGACTAAAGGACCAGATGTCCCCAGAAGACAACCTCAGATGCCTGCAAGTCCATTCAGGGTCATGTCCACGCACGACTAAACACTTATGCACCTACTTCGCCTGCATGCAGCTCCCGCTTCCCACGCTTTCCCCTTCAACACCCTCCACTCTGCCTCGACAGGAAGATGCTTTTTGAGACAGGAGTCCCCCATATTCCCAGGTGGCTGGCTTCCTGAATAAAGGAAGCTTTCCTCTCCCATCATTGCTCGTCTCTTGAATACTGATTTTCAAGCGCCAAGCAGCTGAACCTGAGTTCAGAACCAGTTCTCTGGTGACAAGATGAAGGTCCAGCATCGGCTGCTGTGATTCTATCGCTTGGTGGAGAGGACCCTCACCGAGCCCCTGGGGGTCAGGTCCTGGGCATCAAGGCCCTTCTAGGTTTTGACCCCAACCAGCCTCCTGCTGCCTGTGGGATCCTTGGTCCCCCCAAAACTGAAATACACCCCGTTCCTGAGCAGGCTGCTGTGATTTATTCACAAAGCACCATCATTGCTTATGAGTCTAGAGGATGACTGGGCTCAGCTGGGTGCTTCTCACTGGGGGCTTTGTCCGAGGGCACAGAGGCTCAAGGGTTGCAGAGAGGGTCCCAAGAGAGACCACCCCCAGCTGTGCCAGGCACAAAGTGTCACTTCACCCAACTGTATTCACTGAGCTGGCCCCAGACCCCAGCAGGGCTCAGGGGGAGGGGCTACGGATGCACCTGTTGTGGGGCAAGAAGGACTGAGGAGTCTGGAGGCACATTTAAAGCCACCCCGAGGCTCTATGCCTTCTTCCCCACCCCCTCTGCCACCTGTTCTACCTGACATGACACCTGCCCGCCATCCAAAGCCCTCCGAATGCTCCTTCCCCCATGCTGCTGAGTCTCCTGTGCTTGTGACCACAATTCACAATTCACAGGGTTTCACCCTTACAGATCCCACTGAGTCAGACAAGCAAATAGCGACGCCAGCAAAGGTATGCGCATGGGGGGTGGGAGGCAGAAGCTGCAGGGACCTCTGTGCCTGGCCTGGTAGGCAGCTGTTGTTCCCTTCTGCTATATTTTTCAGTATTTCCCCAAACTTCTATAAAGCCGTCTATAACTTGAATCATCAGAAAAATATTTTGCCGGAAAAAGTACCTTTAAAAATAGATGATAAACGTTTCTTGCCCTGAATCCAAAGCCCTGGGCTACTAAGCTATCAGAATCTTTGTCCTCCAAAGAAGCAAACTGTCTCTAATTCCAAAGTCCACTCTCTATTATAAAGGGGGCAAAATACCACGTGACAGATCAAAGGCAAACAGAAAGAGTCTTTCTGGTGCACGGACGGAAATTGGAGCAATCCCGGGCTTCTGTTCGTGACTCAGTGATGGTTAAAAGACGCAATGGCATTACACCTAGAAGCAGGTTTCTTTCCGTACTCAGGCTTCTCTGTGTGTCCCTCTGTGGTTGTGCAGGGCTGGCCTGGACATCGAGGCTTTGGCCGTGGCAGCGCTGACGGCCGATTGAATCGTGACTTCTGTGGCAAACAGGAAATGATGAACTGAAGCCCATTGGGGGAGTTAATGTGCATCTCTTTGGAGCCCCACAGAGAAAAAGAGCCTGACAGGGGACATCCAGGGATTCATGGTGTAAACCCTGCAAGTATGCAAACTATGCTGATTTCTCCACCCAGGCCCAGTGATGCTCAACCTGCAGACTCTAAAATCCAGTGTGTCTAGGGACGCCTGGGTGGCTCAGCGGTTGAGCGTCTGCCTTTGGCTTGGGTCATTATCCCAGGGTCCTGGGATCGAGTCCCACGTCGGGCTCCCGGTGCATGGAGGCTGCTTCTCCCTCTGCCTGTGTCTCTGCCTCTCTCTCTCTGTCTCTCAGGAATAAATAAATAAAATATTTAAAAATAAATAAAATCCAGTGTGCCTCATGATGTCTGACAGAGCTCGTTACAAATGTGCACTGCTAGCTTCATGCTGGGGAGTCCTGGGTCAGGGGTTTCAGGCTGGGTCAGGGGTTTCCTGAATCTGCACTTTATAACAAGCTTCTGGAGAATTCTTGCAACGTAAGCTCTGCTCTCATCATCAGAGTCAACGTAAGCTCCGCTCTTATCATCAGAGTCAGACTCTCCAGGCCTGCTGCATGACCAGCACAGTGCTCACTACTTGTACCTAGTCTCTGTGGGCTCTTCCTGCAGGTTAGAGTCCATACTCATACCTCCACCTGCCCCTGAGAAAACGGTGGCACGGAGCAGGGGAGGCATGGTTCTCCTTGGTCCTGTGGCTGTGAGTTGTGGGGTCAAGATCTGGAAGCAGGTCTGGGGAGCCTGATAAGCGGAGGCCCTTGTGTTCCCCCAGGGGAATATCTCCACGGTTCCATAATCTGTGAATCCAACCAGCTGCGGTACTGATTACTGGGTCACTATCTCTACTGCCTTCCAGCATCTGGCTACATTCCACATGCGGGGAGACCTCTCCTTACCCCCCACCACCTCTGCTTCTGAAATGCCTGCCAGAGGGGTTTCTTTTGTCTCCTGAGCAGCCAAAGTTTCTCTCCTTGGAGTCGCAGGTGGGGACACCTGCTCCGAAGCAGGGCGGCCCTCGGGGTGGGTGGGGGGTGCCGCGGTAAGAAAGAAGTCAGTTCTTCTGGTCAGTGGTCTGGCCCTTGAGACAGTGCAAAGCCACTCTCCCCACAGTAACACAGACACCCAGTATCTAAGGAGCATTCTCAGAAATCAGAGTAATTGCTGAACACAAAGGCAATTTCAGGAGAGTCAGATGTCACTGGGCATGCATACTGATGAAGGGTAATGTCCTTGTTCCCCTGGAGATGTGCCTTTGGATGAGGCAGGATTTTCAAAACTCAGTTTGCCAAAAGTGGCAACATTACTCTATTCTTCTGGAGACACCGAGAGTGAATGTAGCAGCGTTTTACCCAGGGTCCAGAGAAGGGGGACACTTGCTGTGGGCTGCCACTGGAACCCAGGTCACCTGCTGGGACTTGAGTCCAGATGTCTATCTGTCCGGCCCCCTGACCCCCTGGATCGGTTTGTAAGAAGCAAGGGGAACAGACTGCTTCCAAGAGGAGAGGAGGTCATCTTGGAAGCTGAACAGCCACCCTTTTGTTGGAGGTTTGGATGGCAAGTCCCTCCGTGCCTTCCAGGGACCCCATGCATGGGGCCTCAGGGCTGTGCCAGCCTGGACTGCACCCTGTCAGCTACAAACAGGCCAAGTTCAAGTGCTATTCTGTCAGATGTTGTCGCAGACATAATGGTGTCCCCTGCCTTCCAAATTCATACTCAAGTCCTAAGCCCGGTATCTTGGAATGTGGCTGTATTTGGAGAATCCAGTCTCCAAAAGTATTTGATCTTTTACTTTCTTTTTAAGCAGGTTCCACACCCAGCATGCAGCCCAATGCGGGGCTTGATCTCGTGACCCTGAGATAAAGATCTGAGCCGAGATCAAGAGTCAGATGCTTAATGCACTGAGCCACCTGGGCGCCCCTGGAGAAAGGTCTTTTAAAGAGGTGATCAGGGTAAAATGAAGTCAGATGGGTGGGCCCTAGCCTGATACAACTGGCTGGAGTCCTTATAAGAGGAGGTGAGGACACAGACATGCAAAGAGGAGGGATCATGTGAGGACAGGGGGAGCAGAGCCCAAGGTGGGCAGAGGAGCAGCGCTGCATCACGCTCACCTGGCGGCACACAACTCAGAGTCTGCGCTCCATCCTGGTGACTGTGGGGTGTGCCGGGCTACAGGGGTAGTCTGTGTCCACACCCCTATGGCTACCGGAGGGGCAGAGGGGAAAGGTGACCATCACCTTCCTCCTCACAGTCTCATCATCTACAGACCCAACTAAATGCCATTTCATGAGCAGACTCCAGGCAATGGTCAAGAAGGATCCCGAGGCCCCACTCTGGCTCTGTGGGAAAGAATGTCATGATTGATTAGCAAAGTCTGCTCTGGGCAAGGGAAGGAGGCATGACAGATGTGTGCCATAAATTTGCAGCCTTCTAGAACACAGGGAGCTCCACTCGAGCCAAGGAGAAGTCAGGGTAGCCAGAGGGAGCTGGGTATGATTTAAAGGCCATGCAGTTCCAGGCCACTTGCTGGCCACCAAGGCCCATCACTGGATGACAAACAGATGTCATCATGACCACTACCTCTGGTCAACTCATCGTGGCCACCTGAGCATGAAAACATACGTCCCTGTTTATGTCCATGAGGAGAACATTATAATTCAGTTCCCACTGTCTCCGTGGGCCTGGATTGCAGGAGTGCTGGCAGGACTCCCTGTCCCTCTGACCTTTTTGCAATCTCAAGGGTAGACTCAGGGCCCTCTACCATCACATCATCCCAAGGACATAGATGAAATGCCAGTTTGGGGCCCATGGGTTCTATGGGTTGCATGGGGCCAGGGGACAGGAGGTGGATTGTTAAGAAGGAAGACAGATGGCTGAAGGCTTGGCCTCCCTCCCTGGGGCATGTGTACACTGAGTGGGTGGCAGTGTGGTCCAGTGGCCAAGGTCACTGCCTCCAGAATGGTGTTGGTGCTGGGCTTCTCCTCTCCCTCCCTCCTTCCTTTATTGGTTGGGGAGGGGCAGAGGCAGAGGGAGAGAGAGAATCCTAAGCCGGCTCCATGCCCAGCACAGAGCCTGACACAGGGCTGCATCTCAGGACTCTGAGATCACGACCTGAGGCAAAATCAAAAGTTGCAGATGCTTAACCAACTGAGCCATCCCGGGCCGCCTTGCTTTATATTAAGAAAGATAAATTATGGAGTGGAACAAAACAATTTTTAAATTTTTAATTAAATTAACAAAACTTTTAAACATAAAAATAGAGTGTAGCCCTATATACCAAAAATGAAATATGTGCCTTGAGACCCTTTACTGAGGGCTTTGTTGGGGGCACACTCCTTTGGGGGTCATTGGTGGTTTTCAGTGGGGAAGTAGAAGAAGCTCTGGTCTAAGTGGGTACGTGCTGTGTCCTCCCTCCATCGGTACCCATCCTTGCCACGGGAATGGTGATGGAGAGGGCCAGGGAGCACCTGCTCTGCTTTCAGCCTGGACTCAAGCAAGAGGGAACAGCAGTCCTGGGCTGTGCCCAGGAAGGACAGGACCACAGGGGCTTGAGGCTGAACTGCAGGTGTACTTGGGGGTGCCTGCTCATGCAGGAGCCCCTTTGTGCCACCGGGGCCTCGCCGAAACATGCTCAGGCCATAGGTGGAGGAGGGCTGGGGATTTTGGGATTAGGAATCCCAACCTGATCTCTTCCCATGGAGGACAGTGTCCTTTTATATTGCCCTTGAAAGGAGTTCCCTGAGGAGGCTCCGCCAGGAAGGGCTTGGAAGGTCCTTGACCTTGGGGGCACAGCAAGGACCCCTCCAGAAACGTGCAGCCATTAAGGGACATGTTCAAGAACATGCAGAGGAGTCTCCCCTGAGCTCCGAGGTCGACGGTGACACAGGGCAGACCACGAGAGGGAAGGTTCACAAGGCTTCTTTTATAAAACACCTGCAGTGTGATAGGCTCACATACGTCGTCACCGATGAGTCCCCACAACAACCCAGCAAAGAAGGCAGCCATTCCCTAAGGTGACAAATGGGAAGACCGAGTCTCAGATGGAGTCAGAAGCTTCCGTGCAACATCCCATTACAACAGAGACCCAGTAGAGATGGACTGGGTCTGCAGCCTCTGTACGCATTAACGGATTTAATGTCACCCTCACAGCTGGCATCACAGCTCAGCGCAGATATACTTTTTGTGTGTTGAGCGCTGACTCTAATCAGGGATGCCTCCTCTGAGCAGCCTCCTGGGACAGGTACAGCACAGGTGAGAAGAACCCAGGCTTGGAAATCAGATGAGCCCTCCGCCCCAGGAACGCTAGCTCTCCTTCCCTGAACCGACCTCGGGGACACTGCGTTGCTTCTCTGCTCACAGGAAAACAAGGATGATAACTGTCGTCTGGGGAATTAGGCGGCAGCAGCCACAAAGTGCTTCAGATGAAACTAACTTTCAGGTACTGGTTCTCCTTAGTTTTACGACTGAGAGACTGATGCTCAAAAGGCAACTGGCTTACAGTTCCCTGACCAGGGCAGAGCCAGGAGCAAATGCTGCCCTGTTGGCCGCAAGCATCAGGATTCTTTCTCCCCCACAAACCGCAGAAGTGAGGTTCACAGGGCTGATCCTGAGTTGTCAGGAAACATCTGGATTCCCATTAGCCAGCTCTCTGATTGTAGGAAGCACGTAACGTGCTTCAGCAGTATTTTCTTCCAACACCATTATTTTCACCCTCAGTTGAAAATCCTGTCACTTCTAACGCTTTCCTGTGAACCTCAGTTATCTAAAGAATTCACCGACATGGACCCATTCCAGAGCCTTCCACGCCAAAAGTCAGAGCCATTACGGACTTCCTCCATATCAGAATTTATTAGAAGCATTAGCCTTAGAATCTTGGAACCTTGTCAATTTTATAAACGCTGTTCTTTCTATCATGGCTGGACGGGAGGATTTAAGGACACTTTCCTTGATACCACTTCATTTTCCACTTAAATCGTGGAAACACTGTGGAACTTGAAAGATAATGTGCACAAACTACCCCAGGACGGCAGCTTCTGAGAGCTAGGGTAATCTGGTAGTGTAAATATTTGTTGGAGAAAGATTAACTAGCAAGGCAGTGGATTCAGAATGGCTGCGTCTCTCATTAGCCCAGGAAGGAAGTAAACTGGAAGGCTGAGCAATTCTGTACATCTCAGCTTAAAAGCAGTCATTGGACATCTAGACAAACTACCTGTTTTTAAAGGCTAATTCAGGTTTGTACGATTGAAAAAAAAATTCTCTGTTTCGCCATAACCTCGTTTAATGTAAATTTGCATTTTAAATATCTAACGGCCAAAAGTTTGCTATAATTTTCCAAATTCATTTGAATTCAGAGACACATTACACTTGATGCATTCGTTGCTGGCATGCTGTTGTTTATCAATAATAAATATAACCGGAAAAAAAGTGATTGGGGAATTAATCATTCAAGACAAGAGCATTTAATGCAAAAATTACATTGAATAAATGAACAGCTTACCCTCAATTTCTCTTTTGGATAAATGTGAAGTTACTGGTTTCAGAGCAGTTTTCCAGAAATAACTGTTTGCTGGCAAAGCTTCCCTCCCAGTGGGTCCTCAAAGCTGGTCTTATGCTGAGCCATCCTTGAAAATGGAACCTTCACCCAACTCCAATTTGTAAGTCACATCTACAGCCTTGGGTGTTTGGCTTTATTCTGAGGTTTGCAAGGACCACACATCAGGTTACTACAATTCCTCTCCAGGGGAGCCTCTGGTCGCAGAAGGACTCACAGGGGACTTGAACCCCCCAGCTGCTAGGCACAGACCCCCTCATCCACTGGACACAGATTTGACATCAAGGAGTAAGACGGCATTGCGGTGCCAAGCCAGGTACTCCTCTGGCTGGAATCCGGGGAAGCTCCGGGAGACCCACAAAAGGATTTAGAGGCCCCTGCAAGCTGATGCAGACCCGGCTTAGAGCAGAACCTTCTCCCAGTGAGGGCGCCCTGCAAGCCCTGCCTGGGACTCATTTCTGGGTCCAAGGCCACATTGCGACCTTACTGAGAATCTAGTGAGAAGGTGTATCACCTTGGTCTCCCAACAGGCTTTCCCTTCCAGAACTTTCCCCGTGGAGACAGACACTCCTAGAATTCAGTTCCATAATACAGTCCCCAGACATCTCCCAGAGGCATTCTCAACACCGAAACGGACGGGAAAGGATGGGAAAGATTGCAGTAAGGCTTTTTGCTGGAGATCAGGACAAAACCCAACTGAGACTTGACATTTTGGAAAGGCGGCCACCAGCAGAACTTTTCCCAGAAGTTACACGGATTGTGACCTTCATCCCCTCCCCTGTTACGGTCAGCCACAGAAGGGGTGGATTTCAGGCACTGAACTTGTCGAGAAGGAATTTCTAACTTCGATTCAGTTTCCAGTTGCACCCCCCTCCACACCCGGGGACAGAGGGCCGGGTCCCCCACCCGGTGCGGAGGGGCGGCTGGGTCGGGGTGGGTGGCCGCACCCCCTCTGGAGTCTGGAGCCCGCAGCACCCCATGCCCCGGGCTCGCCCTCCCCGCAGCCTTCCCGCCCCCCGGGCTCGCCCTCCCCGCAGCCTTCCCGCCCCCCGGGCTCGCCCTCCCCGCAGCCTTCCCGCCCCCCGGGCTCGCCCTCCCCGCAGCCTTCCCGCGCCCCGGGCTCGCCCTCCCCGCAGCCTCCCCGCGCCCCGGGGCTCGCCCTCCCCGCAGCCTTCCCGCGCCCCGGAGCTCGCCCTCCCCGCAGCCTTCCCGCCCCCCGGGCTCGCCCTCCCCGCAGCCTCCCTGCCCCCCGGGGCTCGCCCTCCGCGCAGCCGCCCCGCAGCCTGCCCGAGCCCCCGGGGCCCAGAGGCCAGGCGGGGGCTCGGGGCTCGGGGCTCCGTGCTCCCCGCGGGCAGCGCGCCTGGACCCGTGGGGCTGCCGGGCACCCGGTGACGCGCGGAGCCGCGGCGCTCCTTACCTGGCGAGGCCGTCCCGTGCGCTCGCGGGTCCCGGGCGGTGGGGCTGGGGCGCGGGGCGCAGCGCAGGCCCGGCTCGGCGGGGAGGGCGGGGAGGGCGGGGAGGGCGGCTGCGGCTGAGTCAGCGCCCCGGAGGTGCGGGCGAGCCCGGCCCGGCGGCCCACAGGGGCTGTGCGCGGAGTGGCGGCCGCCCCGGCATCTTAAAGGCAGGCGAGGCAGCTGGATGCGGTTCAAGCGGAAGCGCAGGGCGAAACTTCACCGCGGCCGGCGCGGGGAGGGGGCGCTGGCGGGGATGGAGGGGGGCGCCCGGAGACGCTCGGGAAGGGAATGTGGGGAGGAGGAGGCAGGGAGGGGAGAGGGTGGCGGGCGCCGGGCGCAGGGGTGCGGGGCGGGGCGGCGCGGCGGGTCCCCCGCGGGCGCGCAGCCTAACCGGGCGCTTCTGCTGGCTCCTGGAACGCGCTGCCTCCGGAGGTTCCCCTGACAGGGACGCGGGGCCTCCCCTGCATTATGCTTAATAGCGACACGTTTCCATCAAAGTTGGGAGCGAGACCGGGGCGGTTTGCAAAGTCCAGGCAATGCAGTTAGACCAGAGAAGAAAGATGGTGTGAAAACCTTGCCGGGTTTTGCCTCTGTAAAGCCAAAACCAATTTTTTTTTTTTAAATTGGCTTTTTTAAAACTGGAAAACCGGGGAAACGATTGCTATTTGCAGTGTCTGTACTGGTCCAGCTGGAGAATCCAAACTGGAGATGGAAATAATAGCGTTTTCAATGAACTGGCCCATTGTCCGAGAACAGACCAGATGAGCCATATTCTTGGGCGCTTATTAACCAGTTGGAAATGGAAATGAAGAATCCCATTGATAGCAAAACCACAAATAGCGGGGAATATAAGCATAGAAGGGAATATGTTCTACTTTGTAAAGACAAAAACAAAAACACCTGCTCTTCACTGAGGTGTTAGGTTGGATCTGTTAGGACACAATCCTTATTCTTGGACAAGAAGCAGTGAACGTTGTAACCCTATTACATCCTCTTGGTAAATTCAATATAATCTCCATCAAATTCCATGTGGAATTTTCTTTTCGACTTGATGTAATGATTCTAGGTCTCGTGTGGAAGAATAAAGAGAGAAGAGTCAACAAAAGGTTGATAAAGAAGAGGAGGATGAGGGAAAGCAGCCCTGCGGGATGTTATAATGAAAAAAGGTGCGTGCACGAATGAATGAATAGAACAGCCTCTGCTGAAGAAAGTGCTTCCCAGGTACGAGCGCGTGTGGTGCCTCACAATCCTACGATGCAGATATGAATCTTGCTGTCACTTTCAGATAAGGAAATGCAGGCCCCATGGAATAAACATCACACCTAAAGTCACACAGGGAGGGATTTGAGGCTGGCACTCTGCCTCCAGAGCCTTCGCATCTGTGCTAACCCTCGTCACACGGCACTGCCTTTCTCACAAAGCAGCAGTAATTAAAACAGCATGTCACTGGCCAGCAGATGAGTTTGGTGCAGAAGGACGAAAAGACCAAAATCAGGAGTACAGGAGAAACTGGTGTTTAAGAGGCCACTTCAAGCTGATAGAATAGTTGAATTTTTCAAAAAACAAAGTTGGCATAACTAGATAGTACGTAGTGGGGGCTGAGTTTCTACCTGGTTCTCTAGAGCAAAATAAATTCCAAAATCCAGCAAATGGTGAATACAGGAAAGTGAAGTTATAAAGCAATAAGGTAGATATATAGGTGAATATTTATCCTAAAGCTTCCTGGTGAGAGGTGGGAACCTTTCTAAATATACCACAAAACCATAAAGGAAAACACTAATAGATGGGATTATAAAATATACACACACCCAGTTAAATGTGAATTTCAGGTAGACAACAAATGATTTTTTAGTATAAGTATGTTCCATTCATTGTTTATCTGATAGTCAAGTTAAACCAGATGTCCAGTATTTTATCTGCTACCCCTAATATTACAGAAACATTTGAAGGTAGAAAATTCACAAAGATCTTTTATAATCATTATACAAAGATGACCACCCTGATAGAGCAAGAAATAAAAGAAACAAGCAGTCAACTCACAAAAGAAGAAAACACTAATGTCCAAAATATAGAACAAAGCAGTCATCTTGCTGCAACCAAGAAACTCAGAAAGGTCTACTTTTACCTACTAGACTGCAAATTTTAAGATACTGACAAAGTTCAGTGCTGGTGTGGGGCTTGGGGAAAATAGGCATTCTCTCTCACTGTTGATGAAAAGGTCAGTTAGCATAGTGTTTCCAGAAAGCAGTTTGAGAACAAATACCTAATTGAGTTCTTTATGTGCTTAGGAATAAACCAAGCAAATCCACCTTGAAGAATTTATTAAAAGATAATTTTGCAAGTGAGCAAAATGCATAAAGCGGATGCTTCTTGCTTTCCATAAATAAAATATAATTGTTAAAAGTTGGTAGTGAGCTAAATGTCTATACATGGGGGGAGGTTAATTAAATAGTAACAACATGTGTTGAGACTTTACTGTGATGCAGGCATTGTTCTAAGCACCTCCTGTATACTCACTTGTTTAATCCTCAAAAACAAAACAAACTCTTCCTACTCCCCACGCCCCAGCTCCCCTGAGTGGAAGGTACTGTCAGCATTTCCATCTTACAGAAGGGAAAACAGGACAGGGAGGGGAGGCGACTCTCCCAGGGTCCCACAGCTGGAAAGGGACTTCGACGGAGCAGATTATGTTCAGCCACCACGGGATCAGCTCTTGTGCCGTGTGGTGTAATTAGGGGACTCTCTGGGATGGCATGCCAGATGACTCCATCCATAGGATGGAAAGCTATATGGTCGCTAAAAATGACAACACGGCTTATATGTGTTGGCCCAGAAAAAGTTCATGACATGGCGTTAAGTGAGAAAGGAAGTTTCCAAAAATACAGTGCTGTGGACTGAAGGTCTGTGTCTCCCCCAAAATTCATTATGTTGAAACCCAATCCATCAGGTGAGGGTATTAAAAGGTGAGGCCTCTGGAAGGGGATCAAGTCAGGAGGGTAGAGCCCTCCTGAATGAGATAAGCACCCTTACAAGAAGGACCCCAGAGAGCTCTGTTGCCCTCCCACCCCCTGAGGACACACGGACAATAGGGCACGTCTGTGAGCCAGGAAGGGGGGCCCTCCCCAGACACAGAATTTGCCTGCATGTTGATCTTGGACTTTATAGCCTCCAGAACAGCAAGAAGTAAGTTTCTATTGTTTATAAGCCCCCTGGGTTATGGAATTCTGTTGTATTGCTTGAACAAACAATGACCCATTTATGTAAAATTGAAAATACTTATACACAGCTGTATGTGAGCATAGGGATACGTTTGGATGAATAGTCACTAATATATTAACAGGCTCTCTTTCTGACTGACGGGAGTTCAGATGATTTCTTACTTTCTTCTTTATACTTTCCTAAACGACTCAGATTTTTAAATGATGAACACATATCATTGAAATACCCAGGGGAAAAAAAAAACCCGAGAAAATAACGTCTTCCCGTTTTATGATTCAGTTCTTCAGGATCATGATGTTCTAGATTTCTCCCAAGCTTTTCCCTCTGAATTCGGGGAGCTCAGATCCCTGGCTGAGGACTCAGTTCTCCACCCAGGCGAGTCCCAGGCATCCCTCCCACCTCCTGCCTGCCTCCTCGTGAGCAAGGAGGACAGTGCCCGGGACCTCGGACCTCTCAGGTGGAGTCCAGGCGCTCTTACAAAGGCCCCGGAGGACCCGGGGGAAGCACAACCCACGGGCTGGTCCCGTGTCTCAGCTGTACAGGATGCGTAAGTTAGGGCCATGGTTGCCAATGACGGAAACCAATGGAAACCAGCTTAAGAAATAAGGCAACGTTCCCTGGAAGGGTTGGGCGATCCCAGCATCCAGGCAGAGGAGGACGCCAGGGCCGGGTGAGGCCCGAGATGCGCGTGAGCCTTCAGAGCCGCTGGGGATGCTGGACCCGCACCTGACACCTCCCTCTGCGTCTCCCTGGGCATCTGCTTCCTCTCCTCCTCCGTCCACAGAAACACGGCAGCCTCCCGAGCCTTATGTAACAGCTTTGGTCACCCAAAGAGATTAATTTTCTTGCTACTTAGTTTTTAAATCTCCAAGTCAGGGCTTCATTAACTCAGCTTGGTGCAAATGTGCGGGCTCCATTGCGGATGGGCTGTGGCTCGGCTCCAGGTCAGGGATCCCGTGTGGGACCCAGGCTGAAGAAGCAGCTTGTATATGGAGCGTTTGGGTCTAGTGGCAGAGAGGAAGCGAGTACAGCCAGTCTTGGGTTGGCTCTAGCCTGCTGCCAGACCAGATGGCATGGCCGAGCCCAGCGTCCCTGGGGAGGAAGTCAGAGCAGCAACACCACCTCCCACAGCCAGCACGTGGTGGGAAGGGGTCGTAGCAGAAAATGGCACTGGTGACCACAACCCCTGGATGGGATGGACGGTGGGGCCATGTTCTGATACATCCCCATCCAAGGGAAATGACACGGGGCCATGAAACAGACAGTTGCAGTCTTACCCCAACGGTCATACATTAGGACCGTGTGAGGCTGGACGGAGGCTAGGTGGCCCCTGGGGGCACTTGGGTGCACGGAAAGGGATACTGGTTCTTTCTCTGCCACCCACTAGATACGGAACCACAGCCAAGTCACAGCATGTAGTGTCTTCTTCATGATGCAGATGACAGTTCTCGCTGGGCTGCAACTGAGGCCAAGCAGAGGGTCCTACAGGGGGGTTGGCCCTACTGTTTACCCTTGAAAAGAGAAGTTGCCCACCTGCTTCTACTTGGTGTCACTGGGAGCAAAGTGGCACAGTCCCTTTTAGAGGGGAATCCAATTTCTCTCAGGGTTTTTAATGGTGGAACTTCCTGTCTCCTTTGAAACTTCAGAACAGGTTGACCTCCACAGAATTAGTTCAGTGTCACTCATGGGCACCTGATTTTGATGGATATTGGACGGAGCCAGCTCATGGGGGACCCTGCTTCCTCTTTGATAGGGACAGAAAATAGGGTGCACCAACCCTACCCTGTCTGTCTGCTCTTCCCTGCTTGGAGATGTCACCATTGGCACCAGCTGGGACCCCAGCACTGCCAGCAGGGGCTGCGAATCTGCCCCCAGGTGTTCCCAGAGCACTAATAGGTGTCAGTGCCTCT